ATACTGTTCGATAACCGTCAGTGGTTGTGCGAAGTGGCAAGTCATTGTGACTGAAGGTTTTTCAGCTTACTGGTCTCTTCTTTAACTATGGACCATATACCGATATATGCGCTCTCTTCCAGAAACTGTAACTAACATACGTTTAGGTATAATTGCCGTCGAATGACACGAAGTGCTTCGAAGAAGGAGAAATGTCAATGACGAGGCATCAGCAACAGGAATTGTCTTGCAGACAGATATATACGGAAACTATCAGCCAGCTATTACGTATATTTAATATAAGTATACGTTTATTTAATATAATTATACATATATTTATATAATTATACGCCTGTTTAATATGTCTGTTTAATATAATAATACGTCCGTGTCATACAATTATACGCCTGTTTAATATAATTATACGTCTATTTAATATAATTATACACCTATTTAATATAATTATACGTCTATTTAATATAATTATGTCTGTTTAATATAATTATCGTCTGTTTAATACGTGTGTCTAATATAGTTATACGTCTGTTTAATGCAATTATACATCTATTTAATATAATTACACGTTTATTTAATATAACTATACATCTATTTAATATAATTATACGTCTGTTTAATGTTTGTTTAATATAATATAATACGTCTGTTTAATACAATTATACTCCTGTTTAATATAATTATACGTCTATCTCATATAATTATACGCCTGTTTAAAATAATTATCGTTTGTTTAATACAATTATATGTCTGTCTAACATAATTATCGTTTGTTTAATACAATTATACGTCTGTCTAATATAGTTATACATCTGTTTAATAAAATTATACATCTATTTAATATAATTATACGTTTATTTAATATAACTATACATCTATTTAATATAATTATACGTCTGTTTAATATAATTATATCTTTGTTTAATAAAATTATATGCCTGTTTAATACAATTATACCTCTGTTTAATATACTTATACGTCTATTTAATATAATTATACGTCTGTTTAATACAATTATACTTTTATTTAATATAATTATATGGATCTGTGTTTCAAATGATTATTATTAGTCACTCTATTTCAAATCCCACTTTCTTCATTATTTTTCTTTCTTGCTGCTTTTTTATTTATTTTTCATATTTCTCGTGGTTCTATTTCAATCCTGTTGTCTTTTCTTCTTGGAAATCTCCTTGCTTTGTGCATTTTTCTTATTCGTCTTTTGGTTGATTAGATTCTCTGAGTACTTTGCTTTTTCCCATTCTTCCGCAATAGAAATTCTAATGTATCTTCTTTTTGTTTTAATTTACAGAACGAACAAGCAGAATTCAAATCAAGTGTAACGGCCTCAAAGAGACCAGCACAACCTTGAATTATGTTTGCTGCCAAAAGCAAGAAAAGCCAAGACGCTAAAAGATTCATTGTAAAGAATGCCGAGCGACGCTAACAATCACCGGAAGAACAGAATATTTGTACAAAAGAAAAATAAGAAACAGAAAGAAATATTAGTTTTCCATTAGAATTTATACAAAATTAAAAAAAAATATCGTAAAAAATAACCTAGAGACTGAAAAAAAATGGAAAATAATGAATGACGGAGAAAAGATTGTAAAATGTGAATAAAAATATTTTACTTGTGAAAGAGGAAGAAAACAAGAAGCTCTGAAATTAATTTGCAGAAACAAAGAAAAAATCGAGAGGATAAATTTAACCAATAGAAAGCAAAAAAAGTTTAAAAAGTAAAGCTGCAACAAAAAACTTCAAAACAAAAAGCCAAAATAAAATTGTCCAACGGAAGTAATTGAGTATTGAGGACAAATTTAGCGCACAGCGACAAAATAATAATAAAAAAAATACAAACAAAAAAAACACGATAAATATTTGAATCGAACGGTTTAACACAAATTATATTTTTCAACTTTTACATTTTAATTCTGTCTTTTCATCTTTCACTGCTCTGTAGGTTCTGCCACCGTTTACACTTGAACAGTTTTAACTAAACTAGCGACAAAAAAAAAACCCCCAAAAAAAAAAAAAACCATAAAATATCTAAAAACCTATCCACCAAAATAATAACGATTGATGAAGGATTTAAAAATGTGCTTTTAACCGATTCAGTATCTGAAGGATTTGTATATATATTTATATTTCTTTAGAAGTTATTAAAATATTGAATATAGTTCATATTGAATTTAGTTCATGTGAATACAGAAAAAGAAAAATTTTGTGTAATACTTGAATAATAAAGACTGCGAGATCGTCTAAAATATACATAAATAACAACTTAATTGTCGACGGTTGGATGACGTTTAAGCAAATATTTTATTGTACGGAAGACTGAAACTGTCGAGTTGCTTGTCAGAAAGAATGGTTGCTTTGAAAAACAAAGGCAAATATTGTTCTTTGGAATTTATTCCTGTTAATGAATCCGTTTCTTCATCCGTAAAATAAAGAGATAAATTCTAAGAAAAATACATTTGAAACAACAAATCAACAGCGAGATTATCAATTCGTATCGCTTGAAAAATAAACACAAAACCACAAAATCGATAAACTACGTGAAAATAAGAGAAACTATTTTCAGAGCAAAATTAATCAAGTAAATATGGTTCTCAATGCATAAAAAAATTTGAGAGCAGATTCTTAAAAAGATTCTCAGATGAAAACATTTAATTTCTTTGTATTTCATATTTGTTTCTATGTTATATTATTTAACAAACTTTGTTTTCTTTTTGTTTTCCTAATATCACGCCATTAGTATCCTCCTCCTTCTCTTTTAGTTCTTTTGAATATAATACCAAACTATTCCAAGGCCTTTTCCATTAGTATAGTTTAATTACACTGTTCTTATTTTCACTGTCACTTTCCACATTTACTTCCTTTCCATTCTGTATTTCCGGTTTCTTACTAATGACGTAATTTGTTCTATACTTTCTTTCTTAATTTCTTTCTTTCATATTTGTTGATATTTTTGTTATTTTCTTCTTCATATATTCATTCACCCATTCTTTTTCATTTATTTCTTTGTTTTTCGATATTTCACTCAGTTTTGCCTTCATTCATTTACTCATTTTGTTTTGCTGCTTTCCATATTCACCTCTCTGTATTCATAACGCATTCTTTCTTTTCTTTGCCTTTTGCGCATTTTCCCTCCTTTTTCTTTTCTCCTTCCTTCAGCCCATCACTCTTATCTCTAGTTCTTTTTCTTCGCAATATTGAGTCTTCTTCTACATTCTTGCATATATTATCATTTATTTTTCCTTACTTCATTTACCCAATTATCTCAAAGAAAAACAGATAACACTTGTAAAACCTCCACTCAATAATTCCTTGACGCTCCCAGCAAGATATCGTTAAAAATTTTGTCAAATCTTTAAAATCTGCATTGTTGTTCATCAAATTATATCCACGAACCTTCCATTTCTTGGGGGATACAAAAGAAGATATTTACATAGGCAGCATCTTTCTACGACTCCAAACCAAACGGGAACCTTTAAAAATTGATTTGATTATTAGTCTCGTCAAGGATATGTTTGAAAACAAGTTTGTTCCATTAAAAAGAAAAGAATAAATTGTGACTATCTTAAAGAAACGCACATTTTCACTAAAAACGCTGAAACATTTTGAGAAGCGGTTGTAGGAAAAAAAGAAGGAAAACCAGCAAAAGAGCTTTGACACCGTTATTTGGACAACAAGTGGAATGATCCCTATCAGTAATGCTTCATAAGCATCTTGAATTGTTGGAGTCTACTCTTTATGGATTCCGGAAGTGTTCAAGCTAAAAAAAAAAACAAAAACATTTCAGACATTTGAACGTTTTGGTGGCTACTTGGATACAATTTTTTGTTGAATTTCAATAATCTTTACCTATTTTTGGTACGAAGACGACTTTTTAGACGACATGACACATGCCTAACGTGTTATGATAATGAAAATTTGTCCCAATATCTAACATTACGAATTAGGAACAAGAATATCTTGAATTCTTGATCCTGTAATACTTTGCTTCGTTGGTAAAAAAAAAAGTAAAAATGTGAAATGTTTAAAAAGGAAAAAAGAGGTTGAAAATAATAAAATCGTAATTAATAAATAAAATAAATCACAAAAGAAAAACATTTCATTAAGTATTTGAAATAATATGGTTTCTAAGAAGAAAACAACATATTGGATGGATATTTTGTACAAAATTATATCCATATTTTATGCAAATTCCTAACGAAAATATTTAGCAACATATAGTTGAATCGCTATATCCAATCAATCATATTCAATCCAGTTTTGAATTTTCTTTCCAATGTCTTCAAGTTGGTTAAAATTTGATGGAAGGAATGGAAACACCAGGCAGACTTGTTCAAATTTTCTCCCCACAAAACCAGAAATATCCATGATTTTATTTTTGAGTGTCACTTTTGAAGTTGCTTTTTTCTTCATCACTTCGACATGGTGGGCCGGGTTTTTACCACTCTGTCTTCTCAGTCTTTATCTCATGACAGTACTGATTATGATGGAACGAAAACATATTTCATGTATATGCATGCGAAGTTAGAATTTATTTCATTTAGTTCATTCAGTTAGATAAAAAAAAGGACTTATTGGATTATTATAAAAAATAATTTGCACAAATAAAACTTAATTAAAACATCTAAAGACTAAAACGGCGAGGACAAAGAAAACATTCAAACATGTATTCATCCGCACCTAACCTCACCGTAAGTCACCGCTCTTTAGTCAACGATTCATCCGAATTATCGCTCACTCTTCAAATCGCATTTGGCATAACTTATGGCATAATCGCATTCATAACTTTAGTTGGCAATCTTCTTGTGTTAGTTGCTGTGCTCCGGTTCGAACGACTCAAAATTCCCACGAACTATTTTGTGTGCAGCCTAGCTTTTGCTGACGTCACTGTTGCCATTTTAGTTTTGCCACTGTCTTTAATTTACGATCTCACAGGCGGTGAGTGGTGGTTCGGTTGGGTGTTCTGCTATTTCTGGCGCTCTTGTGATGTCATGTGTTGCACGGCTTCTATTTTACACCTCTGTTGCATCTCCCTCGATCGCTACTGGGCTATCACAAAACCATTTGTTTATTCAGTGAAGATGTCAAATAGGCGTGTTGCCTGCATGATTATCACAGTTTGGTTTTGCAGCGTTCTTATATCTTTCATTCCTATTTACCTTGGTTGGTTCACCGACAACCCGGGCACTCTTTACACTGACACAGGCAAGTGTGATTTGGCTGTCAATAAAATCTACGCCGTCTTATCAGCCATGACATCATTCTACATTCCTTTCGTTGTTATGGTTTTCGCATACGCGGCCATCTTAAGAATCGCCAACGTCCAGGCCAGTGCCATCAAGAAAAGTATCCCGCGTCACAGCTGTGCTGTGACTGGTCGACAAGAGAAACTAGAACATTCTGCGAACGATCGAAAAGCCCTACGGACATTAGGAATAATTATGGGTGTCTTTATCGTGTCATGGCTTCCTTTCTTCTTGATGTATATGATTCTTCCTTTCTGTGAAGACTGTCAAATTTCTCCCATGATGATATCTATCATCACCTGGCTGGGATATGGAAATAGCTGTATGAATCCTGTGATATACGCCTTCATGAACAAAGATTTCAGATGGGCGTTTAAGAAATTGCTGACGTGCTCTCTTTAGAATGGTCGAAAGTAAAAAAAAAAAAAAGTAATTCTGCATATAAAGGTTTGGACGACAACGATAATAAAAACAACAATAAAAGCAATAACATTATAATGAACGGACTAACTAAATTTGAAGTATAAGTAAAATATTGTCACTATGGTCATAATATGATGATAATGATGATGATAATACTAATATTACTGCTACTTCTACTACTACAACAACTATAATAATAATAATAATAAAACTATCATTCAAAATAAATAAAAGCGTATAATAATTTTAATTAATAGTATCAAACAATTATTTCTTACTAGTAATGTACTATAATATAAAATAAAGTGAATAATAATAAGAATGATAATAATGATGACGATGATAGTAATAATGATGACGATAAATAATAATGATGATGATGCTGATAATGGTGATGATGATAATAATGATGATGATAATAATAATAATAGTAATAATGGTGATAATAATGATGATGATGATAATCATAATAATAATGATCAACAATAATAATAATAATAGGTAAGAATATCGTGAAGGCGGAGAAGATGTATAGAAGGTACCAAAAGCTAGCAATGTAAATCGGAGAAATGAATGAAGCATCAGCTCATGTCGACCCTTTTTATGGTAGGCAAACTCGAGACTATTTCCGGGTATCTTTCTGCCCTAGCAAGGCGCCCTGTGGATAACTGACATTCTTGGGAGGGCGCAGGTTGCAGTGCTGCTTTGAACAGCCCGTGAAAGTTTTGTCTCGAAGTTACAGATACTACTACTACTACTACTACTAATAATAATAATAATAATATCGGTAGTGGGAAATGCAATTAAATCATTAAAAATATTAAAAGAAGATGGGGTTAATATCTAACTCGTTGATGAAACATGAAGAATTGCTTTAGTAAGTGGTGCATACATCCTTAACAATATGGAAGTATATAGTTTTAAATCTTTTGGTTGAAAGCAAAAGAAAAAAAAATATTCAAACATCACGCTGAGAATGAAATTAAATGACGAGTCTATGATCATAATTTTCCTCACAATGTTAGGTATTTCGTCTTTCATCAAATAATAATACTACTATTACTGCTACTACTACAACTACTCTAATACTATTAATAATAATAATAATAATAATAATAATGATAATAATAATAATAATAATAATAATAATAAAACTCAACTATGTCTCGTTCAAAACATTTAGACATTAACTACTGCGACGGTAAAAATATTACAATATTGGAGACATTTGACTTAAGAAATGAATAATTACCAAAGGTTATTTGAACCTACATTTGTTCAACGTAATCTTTACTAGTGTTATTGCTATTTACTAGGATTAGTGTAGTACACGCCTATTATAATGGCTATTATTATGATTAATATTAACAATAATTCTTTTCTGGTTAATATTAAGGTAATAATAATGACTGTTGTTGTTGTTATAATCTTTATCGTTTCTGTTATTTGTTCATTGAAAATAACCGCGCTGAAATTTCTTAGGACCATTTGGTTCCAAGTTCGAGACACGTCAGTGTTGGCTCTGCCAAATATTCATCGTTACAAATCCCAGCGATTTCCTCATTCGTGTGAGTGATTGGGGGCAAGGAATGATCACATTCAATCAGGGACGATAAGGCGCATTCAATTTCTTCGGTCTTAGCAGAAAGCACATTGAATATATGACACATAAGATCTCTTTACTGGCTGCTGGCTGAAGATCGCTTTCCATGCCTGTACAACATTTCGATCTTTCCGTTTTCTTTTTGGTGCCAGTATAATCTTTGATATGTTGAAAGTTGCATAAACACAAAGAGTATTGCATTTGTATGATAGCAAAATCCATTTGAATTAAATTATGTATTTGTCCTTTTGCGACTGTGTTAAATAAAAGGCCTCCTTTGTTTCTCATTTAGAAGGATTAGGGAGGCTTCTTTTCCATGAAAAAAAGAAATCTCTCGGAAAACTTTTGAAACTATAAGTTTCTTCGTTTTTATATGCCATGTCCTTTCAGTAAGTGGACGATCTCGACTCGCCACATCTTTCTATTGTTCTTCTGACTCTTTACCATCCCTCTTTGCCATCCATTAACACAAACTCGTTCAATAAGTTTTTCGCTGTTTCTCCCGGCTTATTTTACCTGCAATACGATCCGTGATTGTTAAATTCTTCAGACCGTCTTTCCTCATCATGTGTCCCTGAACATTCAATTTAATTAATTATCCATCCAAATTCTGTGGAGAAAACTCAATTTTGTACACTGCAAATCACTACCAAGTTTGGACAAACTAATTATAACATTACCAGCAATAATAATAATAAAAATAATAAATAAATTTACAAAGGAGAAAGAATTAAACAAATGTAAGAATATCGATTTTTATTATTATTATTACTGATAATGACGCAAATTATATTGTGAAGAAATAATAATATTAATAAATGAAGAGTGAAACATTATCCTTGCCACGGCTACTATAGTTCCTTTGTTTTCCTTAGACGACATTTCAAAAGCCGATTGCATATAAGGATTTTTTTTTTTTTTTTCCGTATATATATATATATATAGGGGTGGTTGATGAGTGTGTGTGTATATATATATATATATATATATATATATATATATATATATGTGTGTGTGTGTATGTGTGTTGGGGTGTGTGTATATATGTGTATGTTTGTGCAGAAATTGTTTATTAACTATGGATGAGTGGGTGCGCATTTATTTATTTCCATGAATATACATACGCTTGTACAAAGTGAGCCTGCAAGAACATTATATATATACGTGTGTGTATGCGTGTGTGTGTAAGTGTGTGTGTGTGATGTATGCGTGTTTTTGTGTGTTTGCGTATATAAAAGAAAGATATATGGAAAACTAATATATACAGAAATACATTATTATTTGAATTTCTCTCTTCATGCGACTCTTTTTTACATGACTGAAATCCGAAAATGCTACCCAAGAGTTAAAAAAACTTGGAAAAGAGCCTCTTAAAAGAAAAAGATTCGTGGTAGAGCGAAATTGAATGATGTGTGCAATGTCCGGCGAAACAGACAAGGTAAACCTAGATTCCTGAAAGTTTTGAATAACATGGAACACTTCTCTTATACGAATTTCATATTTATGATTTACATATAAACCTACACATACCATTTTGAATTTAATTCCTGACATGACCTTTGATGTGTTCACGCCACATAGAAAATACTGCTAGTAAGCAACATATTTATGCGTTGCTTTAATGGCTAATAGTTAGGATTTTAAATATTCTCACGACTAGACTCAGTCAGAACGTCTTGCTTGATGCTATGCCGTAAAGACAAACCTATAATAATGTGCCAGATATTGCTATTTACAATTTAATTTTGCCCTTAATTTGGCTCCTGTCCTGAATTTTCCTTATCTGAAGAACGCACACAATTATTATTAAATTACAAAATTATTTGAAAAATGAATTCTTGAAAACATGCTGCTGATCTTTGTTGAATCCCTTTCAAAGCTTAACAAAAGTGTGATTTGCCTGTTGAATTAAGGAAAAGCACATTCCATGTCTAAATAACGCTGGTTTCATTGATATCACCGAGTAACATTACTTTTGTTTCTTTTTCTTAGATGCCACTAATTCTAGTTACTTCTTTACTTTGTAAACCCATTAATCACTACACTAATAGTTCTAATTCTGAATGATAAAAGGTGTTCGATTTCAATTTTTCTTCATGTTCTTGACAACTAACTAACGACAACCAAAAATAAATATCATTTTTAAAGATCTATTTACAGCTGGGTCACTGTGTCGCGCCAGAAAATCTTTCTTGTCAGAGTTCATCTTGCACATTTCCAAATCTACCATTCGTCCGTGCATCGAATACTGCTGCCATATCTGGTCTGGTGCTCCTGCTATTCATTTCGAGTTTCTTGACAAGATCCAAAGAAGGATCTGAAATCTAATAGATCCTGACTTGGCATCTCGACTTCAGTCACTTTCTCATTGACGTGGCGTGGCTTCCTTCTGTCTTTTCTACAAATATTTTCACAGCAAATGCTCTGACCAGCTTCCATCCCTGATTGCCCGACTACATGCGTGTTACTAGATTGACATCTAGGTCCCACCATTTTACTGTTGAAAAATTAAATGTAACCCTAACTTCTACTCCAATAGTTAATTTTCTCGTACTTCCCGCCTGTGTTACTCACTTCCGTTTACTTGCTTCCCTGGTAACTAAAATCTTCAAAAATGTAAATGAAACGTCAATCGCCATCTTCTATCTCCTTGAAACCCGTTCATCTCTTATCCTTTCCTCAATCCTCCTTATACTCAGTCGTTCCTCTCACTTTTACTCTCTGTAGCCCCTGTGTACTAGTGGCATTCCCGTCTTGCTTGTGGTGAAATGATTAAAAACAAAAACAAAATTTTATTCAGTCTTAGCATACTTAAACTCTTTTCATTACTGGCATTCATGACAAATCATCTATTTAGCCTTCTCCACACAGATTCAAATTTCTGTCAGCCATTTTTGCCAGCACAAAATTGATTTCATCTTTGCTGTAAATCCTAAGTTTTAACTTTTCAAATGTTATTTCTGGGCATTTTCTAAACTATTTCGGAGCACGTACTTCTATTCTTAATTCAATAATGGAACATTACAGGTGGACTTTTCTCAATACCAGATGTTGCGTTGCCTCCTGCCAAGGTTTCCCGGTCCTTAGTGTTTGGCATAAAGGCAGAAGCCAACGTACAATATTGGATAGTACAAAAACCTGGTCTGGTTCTTTCAATCAACACAGGAATATTTTTCACCAGTTTAACTCAACGAATAACAACAACAAAAAATAAAAGAAAGGGAGAGAGAGCGTCTGCGTGTATGTGGTTTGGTACAGGTATACAAAGAAAGAAAGAGAGAGAGAGAGAGAGAGAGAGCAATGTGGAAAGAAGAAAGAAAAGAAAAAAAAACCTATTATTACAAGAAAGAAACAGCAAAGATTATTAATATTAGTT